GGGCCCAGGCTGGAATCGAACCTGCCACCTTAAGTGTATGTGGCTGGTGCCTTAGCCACTTGAGCCACAGGTGCCAAAATGGGTTAGGGTTTCAATATATGCATTTTAGGGTGACACAAACACAAAGTCCATAACAGCAAGTATCTCACCATGTATCCAATCTATCCAAGTATTAGATCTGAAAAAATCACCAAGAATCTAAGAACTCTCAGTGAAATATTATGGACTCCTAAATGTCTTTTTTTTTTTTCTTTAGACAAAGTTTCACTCTGTCGCCCTGGGTAGTGTCATGATGTAATAGTTCACAGCAACCTCATACTCTTGGGCTTGAGTAATGCCCTTGCCTCAGCCTCCCGAGTAGCTGGGACTACAAGAGCTCACCACAATGCCTGGCTGTGGGGCATTCCATTTTTAGTAGAGGCAAGGTCTCACTCTTGCTCACGCTGGTCTCAACTCATGAGCTTAAGCAATCCACCTGCCTCAACCTCCTAGAGTGCTAGGATTACAGGTGTGAGCCAGCACCTGGCCAGACGCTCTTGACAAATTATATATAGTTTTTTTTTTTTTTTTGAGACAGAGTCTTATTTAGTCGCTCTTGGTAGAGTGCCATGGTGTCACAGCTCACAGCAACCTCAAATTCATGGGCTTAAGCGATTCTCTTGTCTCAGCCTCCTGAGTATCTGGGACTACAGGTGCCCACCATGACATCTGGCTATTTTTTGGTTGCAGTTGTTATTGTTGTTTTAGCAGGCCCAGGCCAGGCTTGAACCTGCCAATTTCAGTGTATGTGGCCAGCACCCTACTCACTGAGCTACGGGTGCGAAGCCTATATATTTTTTGTTAACACTACCACCACCAAAGTCATGATATGGAACATTTCCATCACCTCAGAAAATTCCCTTGTGCTTTTTTGCTGTCCCTGTCCCCATCCCTGACCCTTAGCAAACACTGATCTGCTAGAATTTTATATAAATTAAATTATACAATATGTAGTCTCATGTGTTTAGCTTCTTTTTTTAAATTTTATTGTTGGGGATTCATTGAGGGTACAAGAAACCAAGTTACACTGATTGCATTCGTTAGGTAAGTCCCTCTTGCTCTTTAAGTTACTGTGCCTCTGGCCTAGGATTTCTTTTCTTTTCTTTTCTTTCTTTTTTTTTTTTTTTTTGAGACAGAGCCTCAAACTATCACCCTGGGTAGAGTGCCATGGCATCACAGCTCACAGCAACCTCCAACTCCTGGGCTCAAACGAGTCTCTTGCCTCAGCCTCCCGCGACCCCAGGTGCCCACCACAACGCCTGGCTATTTTTTGGTTGCAGCTGTCATTGTTGCTTGGTGGGCCTGGGCTGGATACGAACCTGCCACCTTAGGTGTATGTGGCTGGTGCCTTAGCCACTTGAGCCACAGGCGCCGAGCCAAGTCTCCATTTTTTTAATGGCTGAATAGTTTTCCATGGTGTACATATACCACAGCTTGTTAATCCATTCCTGGGTTGGTGGGTATTTAGGCTGTTTCCTCATTTTGGTGATTGTAAATTGAGCTGCAATAAACAGTCTAGTGCAAGTGTCCTTATGATAAAAGGAATTTTTTCCTTCTGGGTAGATGCCCAGGAATGGGATTGCAGGATCAAATGGGAGGTCTAGCTTGAGTTTTTTGAGGTTACTCCATACTTCCTTCCAAAAAAGGTTGTATTAGTTTGCAGTCCCACCAGGTGTAAAAGTGTTCCCCTTTCTCCACATCAACATCAGCATCTGTAGTTTTGACATTTTGT